ATATGTATAATATCAAAACAACTTTGTTTTAGTTATCTGGCACCATTAAGATGTTGTGGGGGTTGACTAACTAACTCTAATCCCAAAGTCCTTTTCCTCTCTCTCTCTCTCTCTCTCTCTCTCTCTCTCTCTTTGTTCCTAATTGTAAATTGGGTAGATTTTCCATAAAAAGGAAATCTTCTCCTTAAACTTTTGTATGGAAACTTTACCTCTTCCATTGTTTTAATACAAAGTTAACTAATCTTTATAAGTAGTATAATAATTATTGCTTCAAAAAATATATACATAAATAAGACGAATATTTACCGGATTCATTTGTATATTGTTTATACTATCCAATGAAATAAAACGGTTTATCTTTGTAAATATCAATATGGTAAACAAATAAATAAAATACAATAATCATTATGGTAAATAATAATAATAACAACAACAAAAGTGGAATCTGGTCTAAAAAGGCGCTTCTTATTCTATAGTCTAACCTTCATTAATGTTAATATACATTTATGCTACTTAAATAAACGGTATCTCATTTTAGTATCCATAGTCTATTACCTTATTACATACTTAGTAACTGAAAAAAATAAGAACAATCATATAACAGATAAGTGGTAATAGTATAGGTTCATATTCAGAAGTGTATATAATGTTAGACACTTATGATTGGTTAATAATTGTATTTATGCGTTGACAATTAAACTAGACAGAGATGATTGTTAATGATGATTGTTGGTAGTGGTGGTAGTGGTGGTGGCGGCGATGATGATGACGACTGGTTAGAATACTTGAAATGAACAGTAAGGTTTACTTACTTACTTACTTACTGACTGACTGACTGACTGACTGACTGACTGACGCATGTTACTCCACGTCGTGGAGGAGCACTTTCCATCCAACTCTGTTCTGAGCAATCGTTTTCAGTTGCTGTTCATGCTTTTTGGTGTCTATTTTTAATACTCGACACAGTGTGTTCTTTGGACGAATGAATTTCGGTCAAAAACTCAAAAGGTCGACTGATTACTTCATCCAATCAGTTTAGTATCATTAGGTCAAGGTTTGTTTCATTTGCCTGTTTGTAATCTACAATCTACAGGGACATAATTAAACACTTAATGCTTTAACCATCATGATTTCAACTTTGTGGTTGCATTGTTCATCATCATTTACAATGTTTTGAGTAGTACAAAAAGTTATTTTTTACTACTTGTTATATATGGAATTTGCATTTCACTCATAAGCTTGAAGGTTGTCTTCTAAGTTTTGATTGTTTTACCACTTTTCTATAATTTTACGGTTTTTTTGTCTCAGTTGTCTTGGTTGTTTGAATCCTCATACTGGTGTTTAGAATTACAAATGACCAGTTTCTTTTGACATATGTGGATCGTATATTACCATTAAATCACAAGCATTTAATAAGTAGGGTTAGATACTGGCTAGTCGTAGATTAGCAGCAGTTATCTGTACTCAGTAGCTAAGTGGATGGTGCGTTAAAGTTTAAAGCGCAAGGTATTGAGTTCGAATTCCAAAGTGAACAGAAAGTGTGGGATGCAAGTACATCCAGCTGACCAGTCCTACATAGGAATAAATGTGTGTTTGTAATAATACTCATTTATTTCAAACATACTGTGTTTATATACCAATCAAACAGACCACATCGTAGCATAAAATGGAAAACAACATTTACACTAGATTTAGCCAAATGTGGCTGTGAATATAGGAGGTAGTAATTGATAGACTGGGCATAACTCGGAAATTGTAAATCGTATAATAATAGTTCATACGTCCAAATAAAGCTTATAATAAGAGGAACATGAATATGTATAGTTCAGTTATTTAAGAATTATACAATAAAAACATACGTATAGTATTAGTCCAGAAATAGATTCTAACAGTTACCATTCATAATTCTCATCGGGATGTAACACATTCAGTTGACAGAACACAACTTCAATAAATAACTGGCATACTTTTTGGTATCTCTAATGTTTATTTAATCTAATTAATCGAAATATTTAAAAGATTATCATTAGATTACTTTATCATGGTAATAGTTGATATGTAGATTTGATTCCTGCTAAGATCATGTGTATGCACTACAGATGAGCCCCTTACCAAAATCAACAGATGAGCATTGTCTCATTGTTTTCAGTAACATCCTAAATGAAATCAATCTGTGACGAATACAACGATCTCCTGAAACTCCTTGAAATATTCACAAACCATTGAGACGAACTACATTGTTTCCTATTTCCATTTTTTCTTCATGATAAATCTATGACAGTAAGAATGTTGGATTTAGAAGCTCTTTCGTACCACGCACCCTCACACACACACACACACACTAAATCTATGTACTTATGGAACGATAAGCTATGAAAATAAGCGACTACATTGTCTTTAACATGTATCTGTAAAGATTCAAACTGACTTGTTATTAACTAAACTTGTATTCTCTATCAATATCATTATATCCATCCTCTAATGATTTTCAATTTGATCAAATATTTTACAAAAACTCTTTACTGCTTACCTACCCTACTTATTTTACAGTAAAGATTAATCACACACACATACACACACAAATACACACAAAAAAATAAACAGACTACAAAGTAAACACAAAGTAGAGTTTGCTTTGAACTTGAAAAAAATCTTTTAAAAAAAATATATATTTCTCTCTTGAAGAAAGTATACTAAACTACATACTCACTCACGGACTCACACCCTCCTGTCCTTCCTCCCTTAGTTACTAGTTGTAATGATAGTAGTCACTTCTTTTTTTGTCTATTTAACATTACGCACACATAATATGTAAGTGAATCATGTCAAATGTTGGATATCATGAGAATACAAAACAAATTGCATATGTGTATGCGTGCGTGTGCGTAGTGTGTGTGTGTGTGTTTACGATAGTCAGTAGTTATAAGAGTAGTATTAATAGGATGGTCAAGTGAGAAATAAGATCAAAATCAGGGAAATAATAGTAATAATAAGGGAGAATCAGTGATATTATTCATTTCTATATTGTGTGTCATAATCACTCATCTGTAAAAAGAGATACACGGAATGTTGTTCAATGATAGGAAAGGTTTAGGATGAATAAATACACATCTTTTTTGATACTTTCTATATCTATCTATATGCGTCTTTATTGTTTTAAGATGATTGTAAATTTTCCGATTAATATATTTAATTTATGACAATCAACTTGATCAAAAGAGAACTCTCAGTATGGAGTTGTGGAGACTATTAAGTTTATAGTTGAAATCATGAACCGATTGATGTGAGATCATCATCGAAAACCTGGAAGCATTGGGTGTCTGTTTCGTGCTATTGTGAGAATCCTTAGAAATGCGCATCCAAGATCCCTTTGGCGGGATTTGAAAACACATGGCCTTCGGTCTCGCACGCGAACGCTCAACCTCTTGACCACTAGTGATCGGATTCGTAAGGGAATTCTCGGAGTTCTGTTGAGATGCCATGACCAGTCGAGTTAATCTGTGTCAGATAGAGACAGGTATCTATCTCAGTGAAATGGAAGATGGTAGTGCAATTTCATGGATTAGTTGAAGTTAGACATAGACACAGTTAGATACCGACTCGATGGTCTAGATGTTAAGCGTTCGCGTGCGAGACTGGAAGCCCTGGGTTCGGATTCCGCGAGCGGGATCGTGAATGCGCACTGTCGATGTGTGTCACAATAGGATGAGACGGCCGTCCAGTGCTCCCAGGTTTTCCACGGTAGTCTAACATCAATCGGTTCATGATCTCAATCGAGAAAAAAAGAACTGACAATTGAAATTTACAGTCCTTTTGTTTTATTGTACTCATTTAACCTACTTATAAGTAGGCCAATTTGATTTGATAAAAAGTGTTTACAATCACAGATTTATCTTAATTATGAGAAAAAACCATTAAAAAATCAGAGCCATTGAACAGATATTTAATTGTAGTATGGAACACTTCAACAGTACACATTCACGATCACATCAGGGGTCTAACTGAGGAAGTTCAGGTATTATGGAGAGTGTTTAATCTCTAGATTAGAGTCAACAACCATTGATTTAAATTGTGCAATCATTTTCCAATTCCATTAGTGAGTAATTATTTTGAATTCAACATGAATCTACTCTTTTAGTTAGGGTTTATCAATGAAACTCACGGTATTATCTCAGGAAATCAATCACCGGTAAGTAAATGTTCCCTTATTCAGTCAGTCAGCAACAACGTAGAACTTCGTACGTACGTACATCAGTTCGAGTTGCCACACCACACTAGCACAGATATGCAGTGGTTGATTCAGATCCCGTAGTGCCGGATGTAGTAAAATTATAAGCTGTAACCAAAAAAGTTAGGGTTTGATGTTATTCAAGGAGTATAATCCAATGAAATAAATTTGGAAAGCGAAAAAAAGAAATGGATACGAAGATTTCAGAAGATTAGAATTTGAGAGAACATAAAGAGTGTATGCACTTGCACCATTGCAAACGACTTTGCGCCATGTCATTCAGGGTCTCTAACCATTGGTTGCTATGATCTCGCGGTCCCCAACCAGATAGTCTACACCTACCAATATGACTCGGTCGAGTTGTCAGTGACCTCATGGACTTGTGCCATGTTTTGGTCTGGCCGCGCCTAGCTCTCTTCCAACCTACTCCTATACCACTGAACATCGCACGTCGAGACAGTCGGTCGTTGGGAATACGTAACACGTGTCCCAGCCATCTCAACTGATCAATTTTCACTACTTCATCAATCGATTTGCCATTTTTACCTAGTACCCGTTTCCTAACAACTGCATTACTTACTCAATGGTCCGATGATATACGAGCAATGTTTCGAAGACACCTATGATCAAATACTAGTAACCTACGGATATCCTCTACTCTTACCGGTCATTTTTCCTTATTACTGTAACAAGTTCATAAAGATTATTAACACATCATTTTAACTAATATGAATTGTTCATTAGAATTTCGTTGTATTTTTTAAAATTGAAGTTATATACAGATTGGGCGAATCATTATTTGGAAAAGGCAAATTATTCAAATTTAATAAAAAATATACAGAAAGATTTATCTAATGGACTATTGTTAGCTGATATTATACATGCAGTAGGTAAGTTGGATATTGTGTATTGCTAATTTATGTATGCATCATTATTTTGCATTCGTTTTGAGACCTAATATATGAAGGGTTGCATAATGGCTAGTAGTGGAATCAACGAGTGTCGATTATTGATGTTGGTCACCAGATAGTAGGATATAAAAGCAGGAATTAGTAAAGTAAGGATAGCATTTATACAGTTCTAGAACATATGGAACTCAAAACAACTGACAACTAGTATCAATATGAACATCAAGACAGTTTTACTATATGAAGCTGAAGTTTCGAGATTTACTATAGCCATCATTAAAAAGGTACAAGTATTGATAAACAATCCGTTGACTGGATACCATCAGCAACAACCTACTGAAGTAGAGGACAAACCGGTTTCCAGATGAGGAGGTAATTAGGAAAAGATGTTGGAAGTGGATAGGATACACATTTGGAAAATGATCGAACTGCATCACGAAGCAAGCGCTAATTTGGAATCCTGAAGGCAAAAGGAAAAGAGGAAGGCCGAAGAAAACACTGCATTGAGAATTTGAAATTGATGAATAGAAAATGGAAACAACAGGAAAGGATTGCCAACCACTGAGTTGAATAGAGAATACTTGTGAGTAATCTATGCTTCTTCAAGAGAAGCAATAGGCGTAAGTGTATATATATATAGATGGATAGATAAATAGATAGATCACTTTAATGAGGTAGTTTATATCAAAGACTAAACAATTTAATGCTTTGTCGTTCAATTTCGAAATTTTACTATAGTCCCCATTTACGATAACTTTCGGAATCAGATCTACTAAAACCACTGATTCTTAAAGATTTACACTGTCATGTTTAATGCCATGTTTTATCGTCATTCTTCTGAATCAGTGTATTCATGTACACTTCGGAAAAGTTCCGACTTTTCAGCTATTTGTCCTTTTAAATCGTACGACTGAGATGTTTTTATGAATTCAACATTACTACTAAAATTTAGTTAGTATGATGATAAAAATAACAAATATTCTCGTGACAATTATCATCGGCGGAGTAAAGCTGATGATGATGAACTAATGAAGATTAATCTGAAAGATTTCAAGTAAGCTCATGAATGATGAAGCTTAGATTCAAACCCATGATTATATATATATACTAATCATTATGACTCAATGGTCCACATTTGACTCAAACAACTAATAAGACACACACTTACACACATACACATGTATTTTTTCCTCACGTTCTCAGACTTTCAATGGTCTAAATAAGCCTGGGCGAGACTATAAATTATGAAAAAACCAATCAGATCTAGGATAATAGGTCTTGAATTTTGGCTCGAAATTCCCTCACCCATTCGTCCAAATAGCGTCATAGCATTTTAGCTTACGTCAGTTCGTGATGAAAACCATAAATCTAAATCCTAGTATTTACCATCAACTGTAAATCATTATCTTTATTCCTCAAACTGATTTATAACAATTATTCGTCCCCACTGAGTAGGCAGACACTCTGAAGGTCCCTCAAAGATCGTACATAAATTATAATCTCACCTAAATCAATTATTTTTATGGGGATATAATATAAAATCCATCCGCCTAAAGGGGGAAATTTTTGATAACTAAGTGACCCTTAGGAACATTAAATATCATACTCCTTATTTTAAAACACATTGAGATCAAAATGCTTGTGAATTAAAGTAATATCCGAGTAACTCGCATTGAAATCGAGTCCTGTAGTTAACATCAACTCTGAGATGCAGGTACATCCAACTGACGAGCCCCAAATAGGATGAAACGCGCATCCTAGATTCCACTATCTTTGCTTATAATGATTGATACTAAGTTTTGTTCCGATTGTAAATATCATGATAGATGTGGATATATTCAATTGAAGAGTCTTAAATAAGATCATATGTCAGTCTTGAATTTCAGTGATAATCACAATCCATATTAACTTTTCCAATACTACTATTATAATAATGAATTTTAATCTATATTGAGTTCATTTCATTAACATTAGCCTCTTTTTCTTTTCCCTTTTGATTTCTATCATTTGGTTTTAAACCATTTTTTGAATTCTCATCTAGCTAATATCAAAGTTCAACGTTTATGTCGAAATCCGAAAACATCCGCTCAATCAGTAAGTAATCATCTATCATTATTTGAGTATTGATGTATCATACTCATCGTTTATAATAACTTACATGGTCTAGCTGACTATTTTCTGGGGAGATAGAAAGAGGGAGGGAGTAATAATAAGGTAAAACTGTGCATGTTTGATGGATCATTTGTAAGCAAACTGTGTTACATACATCCTAAACACTTAATTCTGATCTAAAATCTGACTGTAAATATCTAATCTTAACAAGAAATAGCGTTGTAACCCATGTAGTGGCTAGTCCTATGTTGAGTTTATTCTAGTTTCCAAGCAAGCCAGTTTATCCATTCTTATCAAGTTATACTTTGATCATGTTAATTATTCGCGGTAAGACTATCATTTATACACGAACCAATCAGGTATAAGATAACAGGTCTCGAATTTCGGCGTTATATTCACTCATACATTTGGATAAATAGAATACCCTAAATCTAATTTCTAAGCTTAATCATCAACTGTTAATCATATATATAGAGGGAGGGAGAGAGAGATTCAAGGCGTTTTGTACATCGACTTCAACTAACACATTAGTGAAACCATAAAATAAATCCAACTAACATACTGACAACTGTTACCTCTCGTGAAGGAACATAGGCCGCCTACTAGCATTCTCCATCGAACTCTGTCATGAGAAAATAATTCCAAGAAAAACGTGAAATTTTTTTGAAGAAAAACTATTTTTCAGTCAATCCGATAAAAAATTTGTAAGTTACTGGTTACACTTGATCTAGCGACTGTCATTATGGATGAGTATTATCAGTAATCAGTATATTAAATAAAGCTCAAAAGAAAACACCCTTACCAAACATCTAGATGTTAAATCCTAAAGAGAATGAAACAAACTACTTAACCTTCACTGACAGTCACAATCTACCCAATTTCAATAGAGTATGGTTCATTGAGTTAGATGATTGAGTTGTGGAGATTTCATCGTTCTTCTGAATGACGTTATCAATACAAGATTCGAGAACAAAACTTCATCAAAATCATCTACCTGAGCTACAAATCTTCTCTACCATACTCAATTTCAAATCAAACACTTCATTGGAAAATTAGCACAAAATAAACACTGTACTTATTAATGAAAATGATGCTAACGTTTGAATTCTATATATCAATAGTTGAAATCATGACTCGATTGAAGCTAGACTACCATAGATAACCTGGAAGCACTGGATGGATATTTCGTCCTAGTATGGGACTACTCCGCAGTGCGCATCCACGATCCCACCACCCCGCAAGATTAAAAAACAGGACCAATCAGTCTCACGTGCGAGCGGTTAACCATTACACCACTGAGCAGATCAGCATCCAATGGTGTTAATGTGTAACTTCAACCAATCCACAAAATTGCGCCATCGTACACCATTGTCTTCAGTAAATTGATATCTCACAACAGATCTGGTTGAACTCCACTGGTCATGGCTTCTCACTAGAACACCATGAAGTGCCTTTTGAAGTCATTCACTAGTGAGCAGACGATTATTATCAGAAGGGGTTTTTCAGAGATTGTAGTAATTTCAGTAGTTGAAATCATGATTCAATCGATGATAGATCACCATGGAAAACTACTTAAGAGTAGTATGTAAAGCTTTTATCAATAAAATATTATTTCAGATGAACGCTGAATGTTACCAACCACTTTGAAAAGGCTACTTAACTAGGGGTATTTGAGTGAAGAGATCGAAAGAGAGAGAGAGAAAGAAAAGGGTGAGGACAGAGAGATCAAACAGATTGATTGTATACAATAATCACAGATTCTGAACAGAATTCATTCAGTTAATCGATAAGAGATTTTTTTAAAAGGATCTTTTCAACCAAGCTTAACCAAATAGAATATGACTTAATTTGTATTCTCATTTCATTATTCATACAAGATAACGACAGTTTGAACGAATTGATTATTGTGTTTTACAAATATCGATCATGTTTTTTATTGTATCATTTTAGCTTCATAATGTATTGGCTTGTTTTCAAGTGCTCCAGTTACTTGGCATTGAAACAAATGGGTTTACTCCTCAAGGTAAGACTAATATTAATAGTTATAATAATCATTATTATTATTATATTCTATCACTAAAATGTATTTACTTTCATGCTAATTAAGTAGTAGTCATTTGATCCTCAGTGAATACTAGTGTGGTGGTCGATATTCAATCTTTAAACTTCGTATACAGTTCATCCTGATAACTGTCACTAGATAACGTCCCCCAAAGGGTGTATTAATCAGAAGGCGAATATGAAGTGTTGATCACGTTTATTATTTCACCACACATAAATAGATCATCGAAACTACAGGCACATGAAGCAAGAATGATAGGTGAGTGCCGAATAGCAAGTGAGTGAGTGAGTGAGTGAGTGAGTGAGTGAGTGAGTGAGTGAGTGAGTGAGTGAGTGAGTGAGTGAGTAAATGAGTGAGTGAGTAAATGAGTGAGTGAGTGAGTGAGTGAGTGAGTGAGTGAGTGAGTGAGTGAGCGAGTGAGTGAGTGAGTGAGTGAGTGAGTGAGTGAGTGAGTGAGTGAGTGAGTGAGTGAGTGAGTGAGTGAGTGAGTGAGTGAGTGAGCGAGTGAGTGAGTGAGTGAGTGAGTGAGTGAGTGAGTGAGTGAGTGAGTGAGTGAGTGAGTGAGTGAGTGAGTGAGTGAGTGAGTGAGTGAGTGAGTGAGTGAGTGAGTCCATCAACATCGAATAAATTAAGCGACTAACACTAAGGCTAGGAGAATGAATGTATGCTTGGGCAGTAAGCAATGCTTGAGCATACATATCCATACAAGTACAACAGTGATAAAAGTACAATGATATAAGTTGTTATTGTACGAATGACTCTGTCCGTTAAATAAGTTAACAAAAACGGCCTAACCAAATTAAATGTGAACAAACTCAACTACATATGAGCTGCTATACTAGATAGTTTACATTAACTATTTCATCTCAAAGTTCTTTTAAGATTACAGGTACACCATATTGATCAACATCAATTATCAGGGAATCTAGATAAAGAATAATTTACAATTGACTACTTCAAACGAACTAATGTCTATCTATCTTAAACTTAAAAAACAGCGAGAAATTTGATCTGAATAGTAAACAATTCATTCAGTGACTGACTTCAAGGGGCATTTCCTGCAGTTCTAGTGAGAAGCCATAACCAGTGGAGTTCACCCAGGTTTGTTGTGAGATATCAACTCACTGAAGTAAATGGTGTACGGTGGTGCAACTCCGTGGATTGGTTGAAGTTACCCATTAACACTATTGAATGCCGGCCTGCTCAGTGGTGTAATGGTTAAACGCTCGCTCTCAAGACTGATAGGTCCTGTGTTCTAATCTTGCGGAGCGGTGGGATCGTGGATGCTCACTGTTGAGGAGTCCCATACTAGGACGAAATGGCCGTCCAGTACTCTAAGGTTTTCCATTTTAATCTATCTTCCATTGAATCATGATTTCAACTATTGAAATTCATTATGCACAACTGTTTTCCATTTTGTTTTGTATTTTAATATTTTACTAATCCTTGTATATACTACTAACAATATCCAGTTTCTTTTCACTCCTATCTATCCACTTCTTATATTGTAGACATTGTGGATAGTAAATTAAAATATATACTTGGTCTATTTTTCAATCTATCTAAATTTAAACAAAAAACAAAAAAATTACAACAATCTCAAGTATATACAACTACATCTTCATCAATAATACAATCATCATTCATAGCAACAACAACAACAACAATACCAACTAAGGCAACAATTACATCAATTCATTATCCATCAATGATTAAATTACAAAAAAATCATATTTCCAATGAACATGATACTCATCACCACCACCACCAACATCATGATCATCATCAGGATTCATTAGTTGTTCAATCAACACCACCTAGACCACCACCACCACCACCACCGCCACGTACTGTCACTAATAATAATACTACTACTACTACTCATAGTAGTCTATCAAAACAAACAGATCTATACAACAAATTAGACAGTCCAAACAACAACAGCAGTAACAATAACACCAACAATCTAAGCAATGGGAATCATCATCATCATCATCATCATCATGGTCATTATCAATCTGTAAATAAACAAGAAAATCTTTTAATCGGACAATTAAAATATCCAATAAAGAATCTAAATGAAACAATATCTAATCCATGTTTCAACAATCCTTTAATATTGAATAAAAATAATGATCATCCTAATATGATTGGAATTAATGCATCATTAAATTTTACTAAACCAAAGTAAGTAAAACAAAATAGGAAAGTTTTATATTTTTCTCCTCTTTGTAATTTCCCTTTTTTTTTTGAATGAAACTATAATTTATGAACGAATGAATTAGATATAAGATTTTAGCGCGCGAAATTCTATTTATCCATTTTGGATATTATAATTGATGTTAGTTCGTGATGAATATGTCGAAATTTAATTTATAATTCTAAACATTCATTGTAAATCATAAATCAATTCCCGAAATACTCTGATACGATCATGAATAGGAAGAGTGAGTACTACTTCTCAAAATGCTCTCATATGCCCACATGCATACAACCACTGCCAGGGAAGTCCTACTCAACACCTTCTGGTGGAGGTAGTGTTATTTAAGAAACTTACAGGACGAAAATCGAATGTTCGGCACGGAAACCGAGTTGGTGGACATGGATAGTCTACCTATGGGAGTTGGAAAACTCTAATTCCAAAGCAATAGTGCACATGAGCTCCAGGATCCTGAGGGAACAAATGGCGTATGAAACTATTGTTGGTGACCGGCTACCATGGGACTGCATCTACTTACGTTCTTCCACTGCCTTGTGGATCAGACATTTAGGTCGAAGGCTCGTGGTGTGGTTTGTTTGGGCACCCGGGTAGTATCCCAGTTCTCATACAAATCAAATAATTTATGTGGTGCATATGTATTTGCTGCCTTCTTGTACCAATGCTGATGTGTTTAAATAAATAAAATGAAATCATAATTCTATTTCCTCACACACTGGTTTATAACCCTCATTTGATCCTGGTTATGAGGTGGACACTCTCAAAGTTACTTCGGTGTCGCTCAAAGGTCATCCATAAATTATAGTCTCACCCATTTTTCTCATCTGACAATTGACAACTTAACACGGATGAATTCGGACATAAATTATGATTGATTGATTGATTGAGTGTATGAATAGTAAAATGATAATTGAAACATTAATCATTCGAAATAATCTCTGATTTCTGATTGGTTTGAATATTTACAATATATATATATTAATAGATATTATGATAAGATTTCTATCTGAAGTTTGTACTGATGATGTCATTTAGAAGAACGATGAAAGCTTCATGACCAAATCATTCAGCTTAGAGAATGAAACTCCATCAAAAACTATAATTTATGAATGACCTTTTTTGAATGATGTTAAACTGACTTTGAGATGAAACGAAACAGATATCTAATGTTTTCTGGTTTTCAACAACATCCCGACTAGATTTTAATCTGAGACAAAAAAATGGTCACTACAAATTCAGATATACATTGATCTATATGGTAGTTATTAAGGAAATATGAATAGACATAAGCACATATGGTTTGTTAGTATGTGAGATTTTATGGATATTCTTAAGTTTTATTGTTTACATCAAGAACTGATCTTAGTTAGACAACTATTAAAAACTAAAATGTACTAAATAGTTGTTTTGTTCTAGTGTAACTCCACCATGGATCGAACCGCAGACCTTCTGATACTTCTATCTTCCTAAAACCTTGTGAGTAGTATATTTGTTGTAACGGGTGTGACTGCAGGTTTTGATAAGCAGCGTTTATATCGATCGATCGATCGCAGTAACACATTAACACGTACGAACGACCTAGTGTCCTGATTGGCCCTGCTTCCCTGTCTATCCCAGCCAGTTGAGTCCAGAACGAAAGTCACAGCCTCTGAGATATGAATCATTATATTTCAGACATACTCTATTTATATACTAACCAAACATACCACATCGTACCATAAAACTAGAAAACAACATTTACACAATATTAAACAAGTGAAGTAAATATCGACCAATAGGGAATGTACATTTAGCGTCCAAGGACAACATTAGACGTAACATGATAACTATTGGTATATTTTTCTGCACATCCTAACAATATTACATCCTGACTTTTCTATATAAATATATATACACTACTTACCATTACTGGGAATTCCTTATCAGACTTTTCTATTATCTATAATCTCATAAGAATACCCTCTTAAGTGGTACTTTATTTTATTGTTCATGGTTAAATGTATGAGGTTAAATGTAGGAATTGTTTCTTTACACAAGCTTGCTTATATTGACAATTGATGATCTAATAACCTCACAACCATACACTTATACACTTAAGAGCATGAAATAAATAAAAAAGTTTTGTGTTTTTACTCAATACCCTTCAATATTTAATGTCTATTGTTATAGACAAATTTCTTTAGCTGACATGCTGATTTAATAAACTCTACTGATTAAATTGTAAGTAATATAATTGTATGAACTAAATAAATAAACACCAAATATAAATAGTCTAGCAAAATAATCATTGTCTCTATAGTTTACAGAGCTCTAAACTCATTTTCACCATAAATCTGTTTAATATGAGCAAATATTTCAAAAAAAGGATTATATTTGAAACGCGACATCCGGTTGATGAGTCTTAAATAGGACGAAACGCGTGTCCTGGATTCCACTGTTAGCCACCATTCATTTCTACCGATAATACTTATGATTTAAGGCAATATCAAAGCAATCTGTACAGAATGTATATATCTCAATAAGACAAACTAATGAATTGTAGTCTTAAATATTATTGAGAACATTCAAAAAAAGAAAACCCAATACAAAAATGAATTGAAATGAGACATAGTTTGAAAATATTTGTATCGTAGATAAACTTTCATGAATAAAATTGACTCATCTAAGAGGTAGGTAATAAAGCAGAATAAATGTTGACAGGAACTTCCTATTGTCTCCTTTAAAAACTTACTTTTTTATTCCAATCCATAAATAAATGTTCTTTTGTTCTAAAATAAAATAGAATAATAAACAATAAAGAAGTGAAAGATATACTGACTTGATCATCAAATGATTATTCAAATTTCTTTGAAAGTATCTTATGAATTCAATTTGAAAGGGATTAGATTAACCCATTGTAGATATTTTTGACCTAAAATTTGATCACTCATGTTCGGCATATGGCTATGCTGTACGGATTGTCTACATATTTTTTGCTTACTTACGCCTGTTATACCCCCCTCCAATGGAACATAGGCCGCCGACCAGCATTCTACAACCCACTCTCTACTAGGCATTCCTTTCTAGTTCTATCCAATTCTTGTTCATTTTTCTCATGTCTCTCTCGACGTAATGTGTTTTTTGGTCTTCCTCTTTGCCTTTGGCCTTGAGGTTTCCTTGTAAGGGCTTGCCTTGTGATGCAGTTGGGTGCTTTCCTCAATGTACGTCCTACCCACTTCTTGACTTTTCTCTCCGCTGAGTTCTGGTTTGTTCTCTTCCACACTGGGTTGTTGCTGATAGCGTCAGGCCAACGGATCCGAAGTGTTTTGCGTAGAAAACAGTTAATAAACACTTGTATCTTGTGGATGATGGGTTTCGTAGTTCTCCGAGTTTCCGCCACATACAGTAGAATTATTGTTTCAATATAGTCAATATGAATATATGGAATTTGGCTAGTAATGGAGTCTACGATATATGTGTTCTCCTATTAAAGAACTCACTAACTGGATGTACCTAAATCTCATAGTTGATGTTTACTCTAGGACTCAAACATCGTATCGTTCGCTTGAAATGTCATCGCGTTGTCTACTTAGCTATTGATTCTGGATATCCACTAACTTTTGTAACAGGTATGACACTTAAGTCAATTTGCGATGGATTGGATTATCCTATTGTTGATATCTTATCAACTGGCTATAAATAGACTCTGTTTACTAGAAGGTTATAAAGGGACAAGATATAGAGAAAATTTTAAAGAACAATGAACACACGCATAGTATGTCAGTCAGTCAATCATAGGTAACACAGAATACTATTAATATATGCATCAGTGAATGCACCTGCGCCAGACTTGGAAATGTATCACACAAATTTCTTCCAGATTTTCCATGGTGGTCTAGCTTCAATTGACTCATGATCAAAGCTATTGAAATCACTTTAATATCCGCCAAAATCCCTTCTGATATTAGTAGTTACGTTAAAACTATTCTATACAGATGATCTTAAGTGAATAATCAATCGGTGAATTTAAACTGATGTTGTGGATAGCTTTCTACTGAAATTCACAATTTTTTATTATATTTCTTATTTAAAATAGATTAGATTATGGTTTCTCTGTGGAATGGACTATTAAGGTCAGTATATTTAGGTTATGAATGTTAAGGTTAGGAGCACTAAGGTTAGGCGTTGGGATTTAGGAGTTTTAAGGTTGATTTAGAAGTTATCAGATGTACAGTTGAGAATTAGCGTCTACCTTGATAACAGAACTATGATATCTAACTTGAATTATGTGTATTTAACACTAATAAAATCATTCTAAAAGCTCATGATCTTCTGTATTATCATCGTTCTACTTATATTTTGGATCTCTTACATGAAAGCTGCATTCTGACTGATTATGTTTGATTGGACAATCTTAAGGACACCCATAAATTCACTGAAGATGGTCTGTATGGTATAGTCTTGCCGTAATTATTTAAGTCACGTTGAATATTGGCTAATAATGACACCCAGGAGGTTTGTCTCTTTTCATTTCCTACTCATTAGCTGGTTTAAACTGAACTCAAGTGTTGGTGTTCTTATTGGCACTGAATAGCGATGACTTATGTTTTAAATTTCGAGTCATTCACTAAGCTACTGAGTTCGATTAGGCATTCAGCTATTCAAAGAGGATTAATTTATAGCTGTAATCTATCTATCTAAAAGATATTAATTAATTGTATTCCTTAATATCGATGAGAAGTATCAAACCATTACAAAATTAAATTCACCTCCACTAAACGAATTATTGTCAATCTGAAAGCCTTAAGCATTTTTAAGCCTCTTTTAAGCATCAATTGAATCCTTAATATCAACATGTATATTTAAATAACTATTAAAGTTCTAGTAAGAAGCCTTGGCCAGTGAAGCTAATCCAGGTATCAACCCCGGTGCAATGGAAGATGGTCGTGTAATTTCATGAGTTGTTTGAGGTTAGACATTACCAACATTA